TTTATTTGTGAAGCTCTTTACTTCCCCTTCAATTTTGAATGATAGCCTTGTTGGATAAAGTAGTCTTGGATTCAGTCCCTTGCTTTTCATTACTTTGTATACTTAATGCCACTGCCTTTGGCCTGCAGTGTTTCTATTGAGAAATCAGCTGACAGTCTAATGAGAGCTCCCTTATAGAGGTAACTTTCTGTCTCTCTCTTGCTGCCTTTAAGATTCTTTCTTTTCCTTTAACATTTGCTATTTTAATTATGATGATTCTAGGTGTGGATTTCTTTAGGTTCATCTTGATTGAAACTCTGTGTTTCTTGAACTTGAGTGACATTTCCTTCACCAGGTTAGGGAGGTTTTCTGCCATTATTTCTCTAAACATGTTCTCTATTCTTTGCTCTGATCTTTTCCCTTCTGGTATTCCTATGATGAGGATGTTGTTACATTTAATATTGTCACAAGGCTCCCTTGAACTATCCTCCTACTTTTTAATTTCTTTTTCTATTTGCTGCTCTCAGTGGTTTTTTGTGGGGGTTTTTTTCCTACCTTGACTTCTAATTTGCTGATTCGGTCCTCCACTTCTAATCTGCTGTTGAATCCTTCCATGGTATTCTTTATTTTAGCTATGTCATTCTTTCAGTTGGTTCTTATTTATTGTTGCTATATCTGTGTTCATGTTGATGAAGTTTTCACTAAGCTCATTATAGTTCTCACTAAGTTGTTTGACCATCTTATATCCATTACTTTGAACTCTAAATCTGATAAATTGCTTGCTTCCATTTCATTTAGCTCTTTTTTTCTGGAGATTCCTCCTGTTCTTTCATATGGGGCCTGTTTCTTCATTTCCCCATTTTTGCTGGGGTTTTTTTTTGTGTGTTTTTTATATGTATCAAGACTGCTGTGCCACCCAGTCTTGGTAGGGTGGCTTTCTTGTTAGACCCAGTGGAGTAGTCTCCTTGATCTTCTGAGCCAGGTGCTCTAGGAATGACCCTTATGTGGGTCATGTGGGCTCTCTTGTTGAACTTGGGTCTTTATTGCTGTTGTCCACTTGTGGGGGGGCTCAACCCCAACCGTGTTGTGCCAACTGTTGTATAAGTGCTGACAGAACAAAACAAGGCCAAACCAAAGAGAACCTAAAAGAAATGTCAGCAACAAAAATAATCAAAGCAACAGCCTCAGCAAAGTGATCAAAAGACAAACAACAAACAAAACCACACCAAAAAAAAATGCTAGAAGGCATGAGACCAAAAGAATTAGAGAAGAGAAAAATATATAAAAGCAAAGAAAGCAGAGACCAGAAATAGGGTAAGTATAAAAAATAAAGTGTAGGAAATAATGAATGAAATAATAATAATAACTTTAGAAAGTAATGATGCTAAAAAAAAAATTGTAAAATAGGAAAGTAAAAATGGAAAAAGAAAAGAAGAAAAAAATGAATTAAAAACAACAACCTGGATCTGCTTTTGTGGAGCTCACTGGATTTTGCTTCAATGTTGTTGGGTCTGGCCCCTTAGTGTGTGAGTCTCTGCCCTCTTGTGCAGTTTTTTGGTGCAGGCCAATGTCTGTGTCTATAAGGATCCCCTGGGAAGCTGTTAAAAATTCCTGGGAGCCACCCTCAGAAATCCTGAGTCCACTGGTCTTAGGGTCCATAATTCTAAATTCTAAACAAGCTTCCCAAGCAGCAAGAGCACCATGCTTTGAGAAAATTGGCTCTATACACTTTCTAGGTACCAAGTTTAGAAGCTGTCTGTGGGACCATTGGAAGGTAAGTGCCTCCTCTATGAATATTTGGGGTTTTCTGGCTTACTGGGGTACATGGTGAGGTTCTAGATCTCAATGAACCTGGAATAGCAAGGAAAGCTACATGATAGGATGGCTGTGTGTAGACAGAGAAAGCTGGAGTAGAATGCTATGGAACTGTCATATATCTCAAAAGATCCCAAACTTACAACTGCATGTAAATCTCCTACTGCATCAAAATAAAATGTTTTTGAAGAAAATTCCTAATAGACATTAACCAGCCACTGACATGGACAGGTGCTTATGTGTGGGCATGGAGAAGTGCTCCGGTGTTTCCCAGGGATCCAGTGTTAGTATCAGCTCCTAGGCTCAGTCTTCTATATACATTTTGAGGAAGAAGGGAATATACTTAGCTGTCAGGATGTGGATGGTACTGGAAGATGAAAGAAGACAGGTGGTATTAACACTGTAGTTGCTATGAAAAAGGGTACAGTAATTGGTGTGAATAAATATTGGTCCAAAGGACATAGATTGATCATGTTGTCAGTAGGCACTTTATGACAGATCTGTCTGGCTGTCTGGCTGTCAATCTCCAGATCAATGGTAAACAATAGCCAGTAGTTATGAATATAAAATATCTTGGAAAGCATCCTTGGAAAATGGGATGCAAACTGATGGCTCAGTCAGAGCCCTGGTGGCTTGACAGCCCATGGAGGCAGAAGCAGATTTTACTATTAAACAGGATAGCAGCAACTAGAGTAGATTGGGAGAGTAGTACCAGGGATAAGGGATGGGAGGACAAGACATTTTGGTGACTAAGTCTACCACCACTGGGAAAGAGACCTGCTTTAAGAGGAGAGTTAATTGGACATTAACCTAGTGTGAAGGTTTCTAGAGACATTCTGTGGTCAAAAGCAGGGGGTAGCAGTTCATTGGGCCTGTCCTTGACCTTGACACAGGCATTACAGTAGGGAAAATCCTGAGTGGTGTCATTCAAAGCCTTACATGTCCCTGGGGTTAGCAGGATTGCATACCTTTCTCTGCAATACCAGGTTCACTGAGACCCTGATCCCCACCGTGCACCCCCATAAGCCACCAAGGTAAGCTGTTTGTCTTGATAGGCTCTCCCAGCACTTTGCACTATCATATGGCCTTGAGTCTCAATTAGATGAGTTCTAACTCAGTATGTGTAGCTACATGTCTGCTTCCCTGATAAATGTAGCCAGGAACACAAAGTTCTCTGGTTTGAGACTTGTCCATAGTAGAACTGCGTCTGCTGCTCCCTGGCCTTTTGGATCAGGGATTGAACAGCTGATAGGTAGTTTTGGTTGCTTAGAATGGCAGAGTTCAATACTAAGAAAGAGAGACACCTTCCCTGTGTGTAATAAATTTGTGAGTTTCAGTTACTCAGATTTCAGTTGTCTAAGCACTCAGGACCTAGATTCTAGTCCACTCAAGGCTGTGCTTCTAGATATTTACAGCAGTTTTTATTGCAGCCACTCCCACTCTGGGTGATTGCCCTCAGCTGGAGTCAGCTTCTAGGACTATGAGACTTCGGGGACTATAAACACTAGCCAGAGCCCACATAGAAAAGGATAAGCCCCACAGCAGTGCATTAAGCCTTCATGAAAGGAGTATTAAATGGCTGAAGTAGTGATTCAGTCTATATTTGAGCAACTCCAACATGAGGAGGAGGGCTAGTTTCTAAACTAACTCACCTTCAGAATCCTAAAGAATTATTTCTTGTTTTAATTACAATCTATCTTCATTTAATTTTCCATACATTGTCCTACAAATATCTCTTGGGGCCATTCAACTCTACCTATTCTTTCACATGAAGACAGCTGTCATGTTCCTGAGTCTTCTTTCTTCAGTTCCTTTCATTTGTCCTTATCTAGTGGCTCACCTGTGAGCATATTCCAGGGAGCAATCCTCAAAGTGCCTGGAGCTTCTGGACTGCACCCCTCACCCATAAATTGGGAAGTGTGGTTCCAGGCACAGAGTGTGCAGCAGGCCAATTGGAGTGGGCTCCTTGGGGACATGTGTGGTCTTTGCTGGTTAGTTGTCAAATGCTGAATCTGGTTGTGGAGAAATTTACCCCTATAACTTGAGAGATCTTGAAACAGACAACGAATGGGTCTGGGACACCTATCACTACTTGAGCCAATTAAGCAGAAACAAGGTTGAATCGTATATGAGCGTTTATTCCAATATTGCCAGCAGTATGGGAGAGCAGAGGGTCATCCTATAAAATCTGCTCTGCGCCCCCTCACTTGCCAGCTGCTTTTAAAGGGCAGAGAAACAATGACTACATGAGAAACGGCAGTTGGGCAAAAAGGAAAAAAATGGCTAAATGTTTATAGGCAAAGTGGAAGGAATGTGGGCTGGTGGCTGCAGGGGCTAGTTGCCAGTAAGTCACAGTCATGGGTCCAGTGCTCTGATAATCAGGTTGTTAATCTTTCCATGATGTCAGGTAGTCCCCCTTGTCCTCAGATTAGAATGGACAGCATTCCTAAAATAAACTCCCGAGGCAGACACCTCCCAGCCAGGTCAGAATGGACTTTTCTTTAATCAGAACAAAGCAACCACGATTAACATTGCAAAGGGTTATTAACACTTCTGATTAGTTCTCTATTCTATTATTCTCTCCTGCCCCTTTCAATCTTCAAAGTGTAAGGTTTCCTTTGTTCATTAACACACCATTCTTTATCCTCTGTGGTACAAAGAATGCAGTACTCCAGGTGTGTTCTGGCGGGTACCTAGTACAAGATTCTTACTCCCTTACTAGAAGTGGAGGGCTTTGTTGTTCTTGTTATCACGTCAGAATTAGCTATATTTGCTAAAAATCTCACCTGCCTTTCCACTCTTCCCTCACCTTAATTCTGCAGTTGTTTGTGGAGCCACTGTATAAGTTGTAGCATTTAGAACACAATACCTGACTTATGGTCTCATAATCATCATTATTATTAATTTCATCTTATTAGCTATGACCATTACAAAAGGAATTACCACTTAAGATGTTTAGGTCAGGCCCACCTCCTTCAGCCTCAGAAATGAAAATACTACTTTGCATTACCTCTGCGTTTGGATTTTCAGACCATAGTAGCCTATTCCTCCTTTTAGCCCGGCTACCTCCAATTAAGACCCGCCTCCAAAACGGTGTCTTCCTGGCCCCGCCCCCAGCCTCAGCTCCCAGGCGACTGGCATCCGCCCCGCCCACTCCTAGCCCGAGGACGAGCACTGGGCGTAGTCGCTGATTGGCTGGCTCAGGCGCAGCTTGATGGCGTTTGGGCTGACAAGCCTCGGTCCCAGCCGTGGCCCTAAGGCCACCTAGGTAAGGGGGCCGGTGGCCAGAACTGCGATGACCTCAGGCAGTGGGAAGTGGAAGCACGAACTATCCCTGCACTTCGCCATGAGTTTCCTAATAGACTCCAGCATCATGGTTACCTCCCAGGTGAGCCACTGCCTCCCGACGCGGGAACACTCAGCCTCACTTTCCGAGTCGTCTTCTTGCGGTCCCGGCGATGCGGCCTGGCCGGTGTCGCGCCCTCCTCGCTCGCCGCCTGCGCCCGCCCCGTGCGTTCCCGGAGCTCCGGGACCGTGCGGAATTGGCTGCATGCTCCCTTGTGGTCCGGAGGCGGCCTGCGGCAGTCCGCACCACCACCCTTCCCCGGCTTCCCGCCTGCTTTAGGAAGGGGGCAGGTGGCCTCCGCGTTCCAAGCCAGTGCCTCGAGAGAAGGGGGTAGCCCCCAAAGCGCCGGGAAACTTCTGAACTGCGCCCCTGACCCAGGAAGTGTGGTTCCGGGCGCAGAGTGCCCGGCAGGCCAGTCGGAGCTGACTCCTGGGGACAAGTGGGGACTTTGCTGATTAGTTGTCAAATGCTAAATCCAGGTGTGGAGGAATTTACCGCTGTCACTTGAACGATCTTCCAAGTGTGAGTTTTCCTTTGTGCATTAACACATCATTCTTGGTCCTCTCTTTGCTGCAGTACTTTTCGGATCTTTTTGTGACCCTCCTTTCTTCCCAGTTTGCCACCTTCATTCATTCGTACAGTCCATGAACCTTTATCGGCCATTAATATAAAGCTCTGAGGGTACAAACATAAATAAGACACTGACTGTCCCTGCTCTATAGAAGCTTCGTCTAGTGAACGTCTTGCTTTTTTACCATGTCCTTTGATGAGTTACTCTATTTTCTTTTCCTCATAGCATTTATCAAAGCACTGATATCATGTCTGTGTTTTTTGAGATGCTGTCTTGTTCATAGCTGTATCCCCCTCAAGTGCAAGCACTCAATAAATATTTGTTGGCCGACTCTTAATATTTGGAGAAGCTCAACTCTTTCCACCCTCATGTTTCCAGTAATTTAAGTACTCTTTATTTTTAGTTTTTTCTTGAATTTATTGGGGGTGATATTGATTAATAAGATTATATACGTTCCAGGTGTACAATTCTATAATACATCATCTGTATATTGTATTGGGTATTCATCACTGTAAGTCAAGCCTCCTTCCATCACCATTTCTCCTTCCTATACCCTTTTCTTCCTCACCCACCACCCTTCCACTTTCCCTCTGGTAATCACCATCCTATTGTCTGTGCCTATGAGTTTGTTTGTTTGTTTGTTTTGTTGGGTTTTGTTTTGGTCTTGTTTTTGTTTGCTTAATCCCTTCACTTTTTTCACCCAGCCCCACAACCCCCCTCTCCTCTGACAGCTATTAATCTGTTGTCTATGACTCTGTTTCTATTTTATTGGTTTGATTACTTTGTTTATTGGATTCCACATATGAGCGAGGTCATATTGTACTTGTCTTTCTCTTACTGGCTTATTTCACTTAGCATAGTGCTCTACAGGTCCACCCATGCTGTTGCAAAGGTAAGATTTCCTTCTTTGTACGGCTCAGTAGTATTTCATTGTGTGTATGTACTACAGCATTTTTATCCACTCATCTACTGATGAATACTTGGGCTGCTTCTGAATCTTGGCTATTGTAAATAACGCTGCACTGAATATAGAGTTACATATATTCTTTTGAATTCATGTTTTGGGTTTCTTCAGATAAATTCCCAGAGGTGGAATCACTGGGTTATAAGGCAGTTTCATTTTTAATTTTTTGAGGTAACTCCAGACTGCTTTCCACAGTGGCTGCACCAGTCTGCATTTCCTCTAACAGTGCACAAGGGTTTCCTTTCTCCATATCCTCGCCAACACTTCTTGTTTGTGAATTTATTGATAACCATTCTGACAGGTATGAGGTTATCTTATTGTGGTTTTAATTTGTATTTCTCTGATAATTAGTGACAATGAGCATCTTTTCATATGTCTATTAGCTATCTGTATGTCATCTTTGGATAAGTATCTATTTGCATCCTTTGCCCATTTTTTGGATTGTTGTTGGGGATTTTTGGTGTTGAGTGTTATATGTTCCTTATAAATTTTGTATATTAATCTCTTATCAGATGAATCTTTGGTTAATATGTTCTTCCATTCGGTGGGTTGTCTTTTCATTTTGTTGATTTCCTTCACTGTGCAAAACTCTTTAGTTTGATCTAGTCCCATTTAATTTTTTTTTGTTTTGTTTCCTTCGCCTCAGGCAATAGATGAGAAAAAAATGTTGCTACAATGTCCAAGATTTTACTGTCTATGTTTTCTTCAGTCTTACATTTCAAGTCTTACATTTTAGTCTTTAAACCATTTTGAGTTTATTTTTGTGTATGGTTTAAATGGTGATCTAGTTTCATTTTTTTCACAAATCTGTCCAATTCTCCCAAAACCAAGACTATCTTTAGCCCATTGTATGTTCTTGCCTCTATTCTCTTCCATTGATCTATATGTCTCTTTTTATGCCAGTACCATGCTGTTTTGGTTTTTTGTTTGTTTGTTTGTTTGTTTTTTATCCTCACCCGAGGACATTTTTTCCATTTTTTGTTCATATAGAGTGGGAGGGAGAGAGAGAGAGAAACATCGATGTGAAAGGGACACTTTGAATGGCTGCCACCCACACAACCCAACCAGGGACAGGGACAAACTGCAGTTGAGGTACGTGCCCTTAGCGGGAACCAAACCTGCGTCTCTCTGAACCACGGGCTGACGCTCTAACTGCTGAGCCAAACCGACCAGGGCCCATGCTTTTTTTGATTACTATGGCCTTGTAGTATAGTTTGATGATTCCTCCAACTTTGTTCTTTCTCAAGATTGCTAGTTATTCAGGGTCTTCTGTGGTTCCATATAAATTTTTGGAATATTTGTTCTAGTTTTGTGAAATATGCCATTGGTATTTCGGTTCCCATTGTGTTGAATTTATAGATTACTTTGCGGAGTATGGACATTTTTTTTTCCATTTTTCTTTTTCTTTTCTTTTTTTCATCTTTATTGTTGAATGTATTACAGATGTTCCTCATTTTTCCCCCATTGACCCCTCCTCCCCACTTCACCCTGTCTCCTGCCTTTCCCCTACACTGTTGTCTGTGTCCATTGGTTATGCATATATGCATATAAGTTCTTTGGTTTATTTCTTCCATCCCCCCGACCCCCTTTCCTTTGAGGTTTGTCAGTCTAGCAACCAATTTGTACTTCTTAATCCCTTCACCTTTTTCACCCATTCCCCCATGCCCCCTCCCATCTGGCAACCAACAAAAAGTTCTCTATATCTATGAGAATGTTTCTGTTCTGCTTGTTCATTTTGTTTGTAGATTCAATTGTTGATAGCTATGTATTCATTGCCATTTTGTTTGTTCATATTTTTTACCTTTTTCTTCAAGAAAACTCTTCAACATTTCATATAATAATGGTTTGGTGGTGATGAACTCCTTTAGCTTTTCCTTGTCTGGGAAACTCTTTATATGGCCATCGATTCTAAATGACAGCTTTACAGGATAGAGTAATCTTGGTTGTAGGTTCTTGCTTTTCATCACTCTGAATATTTCTTGCCACTCCCTTCTGGCCTGCAAAGTTTCTTTTGAGAAATCAGCTGACATTCTTATGGGAACTCCCTTGTAGGTAAATAACTGCTTTTCTCTTGCTGCTTTTAAGATTCTCTCTTTGTCTTGAACCTTTTGCATTTTGATGATGACGTGTCTTGGTGTGGGCCTCTTGGGGTTCATCTTGTTTGGGACTCTCTGTGCTTCCTGGACTTGTATATCTGTTTTCTTCACCAAGTTAGGAAAGTTTTCTGCCATTATTGTTTCAAATAGGTTTTGGATTTCTTGTTCTCTCTCTTCTTCTGGCACCCCCAAGATGAGAACGTTGGCACGCTTGAAGTTGTCCCATGTGCTCCTTACACTATCCTCATTTTTTGGGGATTCTTTTTTCTTTTTGCTGTTCTGATTGGGCATTTTTTGCTTCCTTATATTCCAACTCGATGGTTTGCTTCTTGACTTTACCTACTCTACTATTGAATCTGTGTAAATTATTTTTTATTTCAGTTAGTGCCTCCTTCATTTTGGACTGTGCATCCTTCATTTCTGACTGGTCCAATTTTATGCTCTTGAGGCCCTCACAAAGTTCGCTGAGGTTCTCACTAAGTTCATTGAGTATCCTTATAAGCAGTATTTTGAACTCAGCATCTGTTAGGTTGCTTATCTCCATTTCACTTAGTTCTTTTCCTGGGGTCTTGTTCTGTTCTTTCATTTGGGACCTGTTTCTTTGTCTCCTCATTTTGGCTGCCTCCTGTGTTTGTTTTTATGTATTACTTAATGATGAGGTATGGGGCTAGCTGAGACCAGATGCTGCTCGTTTGAAAGAATTTAGGAAAACCTGAAGCAGGATCCAAGACTGGCCAATCCTATGGTTAAGCAACTGGCAACAGTTTGGGTGGGCCTGAAAGTTGGGTGGGGCGGGGCCTCAGGGAATCACCGGGGCGTGGCAACCAGTGTGAGCCAGGTTGCTGGAGTCCCAGATATGGCCACTGTCTGCCACCCCAGGGAAGGGCTCACCAAAGGAACAAAGGCCTCTGACAGCACGTCTGTCCCGGAGAAAGCCCTATCTCCAGCCCTCGCTTCAATGCCAGACAGCTCAGTTCTTCTCTGCATGTCTCTGGTGCCCCTCGAGCTGTCTCCCCTCCACGCTTAGAGGGAGTGAGTCTGATAAGTCCTTGCGCGGGTCCTTTAAGAGGAGCTGCCTGGGGCTCCAGCAGCCTCAGCCTTCCTAAGCCTCAGTTCCCACTGGTTTTTCCAGCCAGAAGTTATGGGAACTTTTTTTCCTGGCACTGGAATCCTGAGCAGGGCACCTGGTGTGGGACGGGGACCCCTCAGTCCTCAGAGAGGACCTTCCCAGCCAAGGTGTCCTCCTAATTTTTATCTGCCACACGTGGATGTGGGACTAGCCCATCGCGCCTCCGCCCCTCCTACCAGTCTCCATGCAGCTGCTTCTTTAATTTTGTAGTTGTAGGACTTCCATTCAGCTTGATTTCAGGAGGTTTTGAATGACGGTTGTTCTGTAGTTTAGTTGTAACTT